TGTCAAATCGAACTGCCCCCTGCGTCGTTTAGGGTTTAGGAATTCTAGGGTGTAGGGTTAGGGCTTGGGGTTTAGGGGTTTACGGGTTTATGATTTAGGCTTTAAGGGTTTAGGGTGCATGCTGAGAAACGAGTGGGAGGTTGGGGGAATTGGCGTGGAGTGTTCCGGACTTTCAAATCTAGGGTGCGGATGTTTGAGGTCAAGGTTGTGAGGGTAGGATAGTCCCCCACAATTACGTGTCTCCCTACTCGGTACAATGTGATATCCGATCGCTCCACAATCTTGAACATTGGTTTTTCGTCCAACATTCTGCGCGCAAATGTAATGTTCGAGCTGCAGCAGGGAATCGCGGTATTCCTGTTCCTGTACTCTGGGCTCTTGCTTGCGAAAGGGATTAAATAGGGACCGAATTGTCAGTCAGTAGAGCTGACAAACATGACGACGGTAATGTAGGGGGCCTTTCTGATCCGAACAGAGATTCAACCAAGAAGCAGAAGGGAATCATATCTTATTGCTGTGACCTCTACATTGCCTCTGCTCACGGTTGCTCTTTGAGCCCCAAAGAGACAAAGCCATTTCTCTGCATAGGGGTGCCTCTGTAAGAGCCCAAATTACCTATGGTCCTTGCCATTGAGACCGCACATGCTGGCCCGCCCAAGTTTGAGACACTCCCCAATTCTGTCACTGTACTTCCTAAAATGTCAAGAATGAGGGCTGAGAGTTGAGGATGTTTCTTGCTGATGTATGAGGAATCTGACGGTTCTGTACACAAGGCTGGACATTGGGGGAAACTTGCCATGCTCAGGACTTACATTCGTCTCTTCTTTAGAAGGACCTGACATCTTTTTCAGATGTGATATGATGGTCTTGCTGGATCATTGGTCCCAAGTATCAATTCTGCCATGGCTGCCTGGGCGCTAGACCAGACATCTACAAACCCAACAACCCCAGGCCCCGCGCAATACAGGCTGAACTCAATCGGGGGCTTGCTACCCCAAACCCAACCAAAACCCTGAGCCCTAAACAAAAAGCCCTAAACCCAACCCTAAACCCTGAACACAAAACCCAAAACCCAACCCTAAGTGATCTCAGATCTGGAGCCGTAGTCTCAACAAACCTCAAACCCTCAGGACCCAAGTAGCCTAATGTAGGTACTCTTTATAGACTTTGGGTGATTTTGGCAAGGCTGAAGAACCAACTGGAAAGCACATGGAACATGAAACGGACACCAGGACTTGATGATGGCAGGTACTTACGGTCGCCCTCGCTACTGCTTTAACGCCTCAGTAACCCCTATAGTAATCCCCTAGATATACTCCCTTATATAACCCTTAAGGAGTTCAGACTATAGCTCATCTGGTAGAGCCCCCCAAGACCAGGCACGCTCCTCGCGAGTGGGGGGCGGGATGATGGCCCTGGAAAGGAAACCAAGCAGGATATGTAGAGTTTTGGGATTCAAACATGTGGGGTTCCTTTTTTGCGGATGCCTAAAATCTTTGCCATGTGTTGGGGTACATAAGGTTGACACCTGTTTTTGGAAACTCCCAAATGCGGATTTATGAAAACAGGGGCTGAGTATGTGGGGATCATGTGGGGATTGTAGGGGACCTACGGAGCATGATATCACGCTTAGCTTGACAGACACACTCATGCAGTTTCAGGTGTAGGGATTCGAGCCTAAACCCTAAACCGCCTGGACGATGACAGGTCTTTCAGCAGGAATGATCGCACTCCAGCTTGACGTCCCCTGATTGGATCCACTAAACGTACACCCATTGGGTTATTATTGGATAATGGAGAATCAAATGGAAAAGAACATGGAAAATGAAATGACTAGTGGGGAATATAGGGTTTTAAGGATCTTGGAGTAATTTTAGGGTACAGTCAGAGTTTCCGGCAGCCTGTGCTTGCAAATATTCGGCTTCGCAGGCTGCATGAATCTCATCAGTTCAGGCATTGTTTAGTATTGTTTAGGAGGACCCCCCACCCTGTAATAGTGGTATAATAAGACTATAAGAGGACCCTAACATAATCCCTATCCCTTATAGTCACTATTACTGGGTGGGGGGTCCACCTAAAGTATTGTACAATACGGTAGCCAAACACAAACTATTGCAGCGCTTGTGCCAAATTGGTTTTTGCGAAGCTGATGCCTGAGGGTCACAACAACGGGATTTTCAAACCCTAATATAGACACCAGTACACTATAGTACTTCTTATGGGATCCCCAAAGTAGGTACCACTAACTTGGGAAACCCCATATGGACTCTTTGTATCATAGCCCGTTAAGTCAAACCCTGAAGCCTAAAGTCTGAACCCTAAACTCTAAAGCCTAAAGGCCTAAAGCTTAAAGGGTGGTTGTCAAAATTATGGTCCCTTTTTGGGTACCCTAAGTATTAGGTGCAGTACTGTAATAGGGATTTATAAAGGGACCATAATTTTGACAACCACCCTAAAGTCTGAACCCTGCAGCCTGCTCCAGCACATGCCAACGCAGCGCGGCGAAAGAGGATGGATGCCATCAGCACGAATTGCTTTGTCAGTATGAGTCAAGATCTTTAGATTTGGACCTGATTTGGGTCGTGAGGGTTCAGGGATTCAGGGTACAGGCGGTTGAGGTTTTAGAGGTTGTAGAGTCTCGGCAGTTTAGGCCGTGGCTTAAGAGGCTCAGTATTTTATGGTGTAGGTCTCTCAGTTCGATCTGGCCTCTGGCCTTGAGCGGTTTAGGGTTTAGGGTTTGGTTTTAAGGCTTAGGGTTAGGGTTTAGGGTTTTAGCCAGTGATCTTTCTTCTTTGGACCTCCATACTAAGGCTGTCTTCCGTTCTGGCATTGACTGAAGCCGTGCTTGTACCACAGATTGGGCTGCCGCAAGAACATTAGGGTCGAATTGCTTTCACGGCTGCCGCGCAATAAACAATTTGTAAATCTCTGCGCAACCCATGTTACCGTTGTTCCATTTCATTCTACATCTGATTCGCCACTACGGGTTTACCAGAAAACCCCTTCTCACGCGTAATGCTCCATACACAGCCTCTATCATCCCGAACCCTAAAGCCTGAACGATACCTGTCTTCATTCTGGGTTCTTGGTTCCGAATGCAAAGCTGCCAAGCATGTTAGAAAGGGTAGCAAAGGCTCTACACCTGCAACGTCAGAGATAATATCGACGGCTATATATGTATATATATACATACTCACATATTGCCATAGCTATCCCACTGTACTGAGTAGGGGCAGCACCTGACCAACAATGATAAAGCTGTACGCTCCAAACCCTCACCCGCCTAATCCTCAGACCCTAAACTGACCCCTATCACTATCACCGAAACCTACACCCTCAACCCAATTCCCTTACAATC